AAGAGTGTAATGTGTTGTTTTATATAATATTACTTGAACAATCCAATGAGTCTGATGGCAGACATGGAGGTCTTCTAGCATGGTCATTTTTAAGATGTTCTCAGCATGGTGTTTTGCAGAAAGCAACATTATATTACGAGTAAACTTTTCCAGTCTCATTATTGCGTGTATAGCATATCAGGCCAGCCCCATGAGCTAAGCTCACTGTGAAATTGCTTAAGCTTGGTTTGAAAGTATCCACACAAGTCATATATCACTGGCTCGCAGCTCACCTTATCTTGACTGCTCTAATGCTGCCACAAGAAGCCGTGCTTGCTCACATCAAAGAAATGTTTTGAAAACCTCTTAAGCTCCTTTTAAAGCGTTACATAGATCTCCTGAAAATAAAGAGCCAGGCTATAGGACCTGTGTGGGAAAAGCGAGCTGGGTTAATAATTAAGACAGCCCGTTTGAGATTTTCCGGTCAGAAATATTCTGAATGTAATCTGCGAACTCAAATACAAGAAAGGAAGTCCTGAAAGGTTCTTTGAAAGCCTTCGTGGAGAATGGTGTGTTTTGCTTCCTTTCCACTATCTGCAGCCTCATAATAAAATGGGATTATGTATAAATCATCTACTAAATGCATGAACCTCTGAGGTAAATGAATTTTATTTAAAAAAAAAGAATGGTTTATCACACAAGGCAAAAAGAAGTAATGCAAACTAACTGCTATGAACAAACCACAGGACCCCCTCCACCCCCACACTGGCAGCAAAGGGGTTCTCATTACAACCGAATCAAAGGAGCAAAAGAACAAGACTCACATTGTTCTGATTGTGTTTACTTACACTAAAAACATTTAAACCAGACAATGAGAATGTACAGTATAAGACAGACAGTTTTGATTTTCACATAAATCCAATCACAGAACCTCATAGTAGCATTTTTTTTTTTTTTTTTTTACATTTAGCTGACAGTACAAATGAAACAGCTACACAATACATTTGACGGATCACTTTAAGACAGATTATACATGTCGCAACAGGGACATTCGGGGGAAAAGAGGCTTGGAATAAAAAAGAAGATGCAACATCCCGTCTGGGGCTTTTTTTTTAATTGATGTAACTTCAAACCTGCGTGTTGAGGTAAGCATGCCACTGGGGAATATGAAGGAAGCGATTCCCCTTAAAAAGAACTCCGCTAACCATATCCCCACTTACTTTGTAATTCGCCTTGACAGTAAATCAATTCTCAAGCCTGGCCTCTTGGACTCCTCCAACCCTAGGTCCTCCTCTCTCAACATTCCTGCACACATGAATCACTCCAACTCCTGGCTCATAGAAGGCATTTCCTGCCCAGCCCTCTCTCTCTCTCTTTCTCTCTGTCTGACTCCTCTGCTGAAAGCTGGGCAGGATCCCGGCCCGAGCTTTGATTTGGACCCAGAGGGAGAGAGGGAGGAGAGCTCAGCTTAGCACAGAGCCCAGGCTCTGGGACTGCTCTGAGGCAGAGTGACATGGAGACTCTGGATGCGTTGGGGGATGCGTGAACACCCAAGCAGGAATTTAGTGCTTTATCCTTCAAATTGCAATATGAGCAGCGGACCATATTCCAATGGCAACATCACTCCCGGTGCAAATGTCTGCCCTAAGGGAGCGTCCTCTGTTAGGATTTAAGTATACATTCTCTCTGAGACAGATGTTCATTATTACAGTTCTGAGACCACTTAACATGGAACATAATCACAGATCTTTAAAAACAACAGAGCACATACAGTTTTAAATTCTTTTACACACTGTCAGGACTTTATGATAATTCTCAACGCTGAATATTTGATGGCAAAAAATACATAATGAGAACATAAGTTGCCTTTTCAAAGCTGTACACCTGTCCAACCTTCCCTCTAGAAATCATCTTTGATGCTAAATCCACAGTATATGTACATAAACCTTTTTGTCAGTTGAGGGGACTCGAGAAGCAGCTTTTTAAAAAAGGTCTAAATTGTCTTCATACTATATACACAGAAGCAAAACGTACAGATTTTACAGAGATCATTGCACAAACATCGCAAACAGAGAGTCTGAGAGTGTGGGATAAGCAAGGCTGCAGCTGAGTGAAAAGGGGCCGTATGTGGTGACAAGTAAAGCTGGCTTGGTTGCTGTGTGTGTATGTGTGTGTGTGCAAGTGAAAACTACATGGATGTAGATGGACATGTGTGTAGAGACCTGTTTATATGTGAATGATGTGAATGTGTGAGCTCATCCTCTCTTCCCTTCTCAGATCATAGCTCTTATCACCAGTCTGCCTTTGACCTGGTGAAGATAGGTGCTCTGCTCTGACTCCAAGCTCTGATTGGTCAGAGCCTCATCCATACTATCAGTCGGCTCCTCTTTGACCTTGATGATCCCACAGTGAGCGTCGGGGAGGTCACTGCTTGAGCCACTGCTGCTGCTACTGCTGAGCGTGTGCTTCCGGATGACTCCTCCAGGGGGCATCCTGTCCTCCTGCATGCTCTCTGTCTGCTCTCCGTGCTGCTCCTCTTGCTCTTCCTCTGATTCCTGCAGGTGTGCACTGGGCTGACGTAACTGCTCAATGGACTTGGACAACAACTGGAAAACACATTGGCTCTACATTAATGATGATATCCTGCAGCTAAACAACTTTTATCAATGCAAAGCAAAAAAAAGTCAATTTGAGGTCTTCACAATATCACATAAATAACAATAAGCATGCAAATACATCCAAAAAGAAGTAGAAAGACTTGTTTTACCTTTTCGCCGGTAGCATTTAATAATGTATATTGTAATAATGTCACAAAGGGAACTATCAGACCGACCGATAAAGTTTCTGGCTTGTGGGTTTGATAAACTACATTTTAGAAGGTTTAAGAGTAGAAGCAGATTGGACATTATTCCTGCTTCTTATGAAATAATCAACAACAATTGTGGCTGCACCGGGTAAGTGGACAGGTTTCACTCATGTGCTTTATTGTTATAAAAGAGCAAAGTGTACAAGGTCTCATCTTTTCCTTGAAAAGAGCCTATCAAGAGATCATACAGTGCCAGGGCAGCAGTGTAGAGAGTGTGCTATTGTATAGGATTATAAAAGAGCCTATCAAGAGATCATACAGTATGGCACACATCAAACTTGGCCAACTCTTCTCTACTGGCACCAGGTTATGAGCACTCCAGTCCAAACTCTGAACCTCAGCAAAGTGTGTTCAGATTTTTCACTATATCTACTCCAAGTGCACTTCATCTTACTTGCATCAAAAATCTTTTAATCAAACTGAGAAGTGTAAGTGTCAGAGACATCAAAATATCAAAAGGACATTTTTGCATCCACGAAAATAAGTTAAAAAGCTGTAAAAGCTACATGCTAAGAGGGTAACAGTGCAAGATAATTAGCAGAAACAGAGCCACGAGTTTGAACTCAGTGTACAGGGATGTTTCAGTGTCTTCCTGCTCTGTGTAAATTCCAACCACTGTAAATGAAGCCATGATGTGATTATTCCACCACAAGAGGGCTCAGTAAACAGGCTGAGAAGCTCCTTGCCTTCCCTTGACAGCTTGTAACCAGCAACATTACTATCTATACAAAATAGGCTGATATAAATATCCCTTCCATTAAAAGAACTAGCCTCCTTAGCTTGACATTAGTAAACACTCTTCAAACCTCCTGAAATCCCTAAGCTCTTGTAAATCTCCATTAGTGCCCCCTACTGTTACAGGCCATTTAAAAACAACCGTAGACAAGCCTCTGCTAGGAAATTAATTAGGGCAATGTTTCTGAGATCCCTCTCAATAAACACTGAGTGCTCATCCCTGATTAGTGGCCATTTATAACCTCCATTTAAAGAAGCTTTGCTTTGCTTGTGATCTCACTGACCTGAGTGATCAACACAGAGCCTGTTCACATGATTCTAGACAAGGTGTCACAATTATTCCAAAGCTCTTTTCAAATCAAATGAGCGTCACAGAGTGCTTTTCAATAATTGCAACTGATATTAAAACTGATTCCAGCTGCCTGGCAGCGATACTTGTTTGTTATTTATAGTGCTACAGAGGAAATCAAACAGAAACTGTTGAAGTTCTACATCTGCTCTGTACAACTCAATAAGTGCTTTGCACCTTTTATTACTTCTAGTTAAGTGTCACTCTATGGTTCCCATGGCTCTTTCAGGGCCCAGCGCTGGGATACAGCAATATGTGAGCTCACACAATGCAGCCTTTCACAGTGTCTGCCACCTCACACATGTCCCTCACCAGAATAATTACACTCTGGGTATAGCAAGGTCACCTCAGCCAGCTAAGAGAAACACAAATATTGTTGCAGAGGAACAAAATGTTTTCTGGGAACATTTTCCTTCATTTGAACTTAGCTGAATTGAATTTCACAGAGTTAGCATGTGAACAGCACTGATGCCTTAAGCTATGATAACAGAAATAGTGCAGGGGAAGGGGTTCTTCCCCATTTGAAGTCGGGCAGAAGTCCTTTGCTTCACAGAAAAAACAGCAGGATTCCAGGGAAGAACAGACTGCAACCCAGGTCTGTAAACTTAAGTTACCACAGATGCTTTTACAAAAGGCTAAAAATAGATCTACAATTGTGTGCCTAAAATAATTAAATCAGACTCCCTGCAGTAAAACAAGACCTCATGAAACCTATGAAGGAAGAGACAAGGCTTCAAAAAGCAATCTCAAAGTCATCCCTTGTGATCTGAGTATTGATGAACAGCACAATACCTTATTTATATGGACCTGCTGCTGGTACTGTTTCTGTTTCTCCAGGAAGTGCTGGTGTTGCTGCTGGATGACAAGCTGAGCCAGTGTGTTCTGAGGCAGTGGAGCAGACTGGGTCCGGTTCAAGGGCCGGTGTTTTGGTAGTTTAGGCCGACTACTCGATGGACGATCCTTCATGGTTAGAGGGGACTGAGGGTGGGACGGCATGGAGCTTAGGCCTTGACAAGAAAATCGTATTGTAAATGTGTTACATTTGCATTATAACAATAAGTAAGATCATGCTTGAGGATGAAGAAAGAAGACTTACCAGAGGAAAGGATCTTCTGCTGCCTCATCTGCTCCTTCTGGAGGAGGTGTTGGAGAAGAGCCTGGTGACTGGGGCTCACCTTGGATTCCAGGCCTGTCTGCAGGGGCACAGGGCCCAGGAGATGCCCTGGCAGCCCATGCCTGATTTCTGCTGATCGGTCTTTCAACCCCATGACAGCCTGAGAGAAAAGCAAAAATGATATAGTAATGGTTATTCTTTTACTAACACCCCACATACTGTGCATCACAATTATTCATTTGTAAGAATCATAACTGTTTGTTTTAACAAATTAAGTTACTTTTACTTCATGAATATAGTTCCTATACAAATCAGTGAATAGGGAAGGTGGAAATCAGAGGCCATCAATGGTTCGAAGTCCCTGCAGCTGAACAACAGGCCTGTGTGGAATGTGCCAGAGAACTAAAAGATGATATATCATTGCTGTGTTATCAGGAGTTGCACTTGAGTGGACTTGGACTTTTTAAAAGCTGTGATAAATGAGGTAGCGGAGGACGATAAGAGCATGCCTGACACAAGACACTACAGAAACAATATTTATCTAAGGGCGATAAAATCATTTGGGGCCACAGGTCAGCGACCTGTGGTTGTACAGAGAACCAAGACAGCCACTGACTGCAGGTCATACAGACTTGTTTCACAAGTCAAAAAGCTTACCATCACTGAACGACTAAACAGGAGCATTAGGAAAGACTTCATATAAAAAACCAAAATTGTTTAAGAATTCTTCAAAAGGTGTACTCACACTAATGGGTGAGGATGCAGTTGAAAGCCCCAAGGAGATGTTAGGTAAGGAGGGAGATGTGTATAAACTCAGCATGGACATGGAGCCCTCAGGTCGGAATAGTCTCGGCTGTGAAGGCCATCTCTGCATCAAACACACAGGACAGAGGAAAAGACAGGAGGAGGCAACAGATTCAGAAATCCCACTTTGGACCATTTCAAAATGCAACATTAATGCATAAACAACAGCCCTCCTTGTTGCAAACAGAAAGTTACGATATGAGTTTATATGATGCATGATATAAAGGAGTGACAGCCAGCAGAAGTGTCCTTGAGCCTCACAGAATGGCACCAGTGAGGATAATACATTATTATAAAACACTGCAAACCTCTAAATCTATTGCTCCACCCTCAGTTCCTCAGTCTCCTGCTGTCTGTTCTTACTCCTTGGTCCCCACCCTCAGGCTACACTCTCAGAGAACATCAGCACTGGGGCATACTTCCTGTCCCCAGCAGAGCAGCAGTCCAGCATGTGGTTTTGGAACAGCCATGTTTATGCTTCCAACCCCTACTAGTACTCAGTGACCTGTACGTGGATATCCGGCCTGTATTTGACCCGAGGGACCTATTCCCTCTGAAAAAGGATACCTAATGTAACGGTGCACAAACATGCCTTGCTTTTGCAACAGGCATGAGGTCTACAGGCAGCCCCACAGTACGCCAGTGACTTTCATGAGAGCCTCAGCCTGGGCCACTACAATAGCTACCCTGTGTGTTTATGTTGTTAGCATGTGGGTGTCTTTGGCTACCAATGCCTGGGATATCAATTAAACTCCACATTTCATCTGTCTCCCTACGCCCCAGCCTGATGTCAGAGCTGTCTCTCCCTTCTCTGTGTCGCTGGAGGTCCCTAGGAGAGTAAACAGTGATGGTTAAGGAAAACACAGCTGCTCTGTTATGATTGTTCAGAGATGTGTCATATCTGCCACTCTCTATAATGGTCTGCTGTCTGAGCTCGATCCAAGGGGAGGAGCTCTGGTCAGTACCTCAGCCATGAATCTATTGGGAGCTGCCTCAGAACAGACAAGGAGCAAGACCAGTCCAGTGACAGAAACACCACGACAAGCCAACAGCAACCTTACAGCCAAACTAAAGATGTTTGATTTTTTTTTTTTTTTTTTGGCAAAACATAAAACATCTGGAAAAAAATGTTGGCTAGAAAAACGTGCTGCATTTTAATATTTACTGTTTTTCATAGTTTGTGTTCAGACCTTTAACATTGATGGAGTCCATTTATATTTACGCATAATAAGTCAGCTTTACACAGGCAAACTTGGGGTAATGTCAGTGTGGGGAGCCATTTTCATTGGAGTGAAACACGGGACAACTGGCTGTTTTTATAGCTGCAAGCTGAAGGGCAGAAAGACATTTAATGCCCTGGCATAAAATGTTGATTTTTGTACAATTTCCATGCACAATCGTATCAGAAGTTGGCTTTTTTGCTTGATTTTTTTCCAATCACAGTGCTTGTGATTTATAAACATACCTCTGTTTTTGTGGTAGTAGGCAGAGAGGAGGGCCCATTTTCAGCCCCCAAGGCACTGGAGGCCCCTATAGGAGAGCTGGGGCCAGACCCAGGGGCACTGTTAGTGGGCGTAGAGTCTACAAAAAGGTTAGACACAGTATGCATGCTCATTCTCTACACATAACACAGAGGCTTGGCATAACAGCTGTAGCCTAACAACAGTTTAACAGCCATTGCTGCTACATTGAACGTTCTAACATTTTTAAATTTTACTATACTTTATTAATCCCCATAATAATTTCTTACTGATGGCAGCACAGCCGGTCACTGCCTGGCCACCAGGGGTAACTAGGGGTTCAGTGTCTTGCCAAAGTACACTTTGACATGTGGACTGGGGAGACCAGGAATCGAACAATCAACATTCCTCTTGTGAGATGACTGCTCTACCTTCAGGTAACATCATGCTATAAACTGTATTTGCATACACTACATACCCCTTAACTCTAGGGCCCTCTTCTTGTACGGAGTCATGATGTTTCCATCCCTTCTCTTTAGCATCGGACTGCTTCTCCTCTCTGCCACTTTCTGCTTCAGTCTGGATCGGACCTTCAGGTTGGGCTCAGAGGCTAAAACATATGGAACAAATATTTTTTTTTATATATATATA